CCGCGATCTCGCGCGCACGCCCGTCCCACCCGCCGCCCCACCACGGCGTCAACGCCCGCCTCCGCTGCTACCCGGCACACCACGTCCGTCACCGTCTCTGCGCAACCCGGTTGGCGCCCACTCGCCGTGGCGCCTCCCCTGCCCCCGACACGCCCGCCCGGTTGAAGCCCGCTCGCCGTCCTGCCTCCCTCGTCCCCCGCACGGGCGCCCGAAAGATTTCGTAGCCCGCTCGCCGTCCGGCCTCCCCCACCCTCCGGCTCGCGCGCCCGGTTGAAGCCCCTTGTAGTTCTCGACGCCGTCCAGCTCCGGCCCGGTCCGCTCCCGCGCCCTCCGTTCCCCCCCGCCCACGCACGAGTGTGGTGCTCCACGCCGCCCCGCCCCGGCGCCCCCCACCTATTCGCCGCGAACGCCCCGCACCCACCCTCCCACACCGTCCCCATCGCCGCCCCGGCCCACACCTCCTCTACGTCATCGCCGCACACCCAAAACCGCCCTCCGCCCACCATCCACTTGCAGCCCACCGTCCCTATCGCCGCCCGTCGCCGCTCCGGCCCGCACTTCCTCGTCGCCACGCATCCACATCCGCTCCCCAAAGTCGAAGCACCACGCGCTGCGCAACTCCGCCTTGAAGAATTCCGGCCCCCCCACGCACAGCCCCCCGCACACCACCGCCTCGCCCACGTCGCCGCGAGCCTCCGACATTTCGGGCAGCTCCGTGTCTCACGCCTCCGCCCCTTGTCGTACGCGTCCATCTACCACACCGCCGTCACGTGCTCGCAGTTCCCGCCCCAGTTCCGCCCACTATGTAGATGCGCGTGGCGCAGTTTAAACGAATCCGGGCTAAAATTTGTAGTGTACAGTAGCGCGGCCGCGCTCGGCAGTCCGCACAGGTATTTCAATTTTAAATTTAAACTTGTCGCCACTTGTCAACCTGTACTGCAGTGGGGCCCCGCCCCGCAGTCCGACAGTAATTTTAATTTAAACTTTTTCACTTGTCGCCACTTGTCACCTCCACGTGTCCCCGTGGCGCCTGGCCTGCGGCCAGGCCCTGCCCGTGGCCGCCACTTGTCACCCTAGCGCCAATGGAAACGCGGGAACGCACACCCGCACAGACAGACAGACAGACAGACACGGAAATTAGTATTACAGTGATCTCTCGATAAGCGGAACCAGCACGGGAGAACCCCTCCGGTTCCGCTTAAAGGGGGGTTCCGCTTATCAAAGTATATCATACCGAGCACTGTTCACCAATCATTTCACATCTTCATAATTTTATTTAAAAAAGCTATTGATGGTCGTTTGCTGCAAGTGGGCTCCGTGCGCGCTTCGCGCGCCAAGCCAAGGAAGCGTGGAGGAACACTATTTGGGAAGGGTGGCAATGAAAATATGTAAAGACAATGGCGTTTACTTTTTTTGGTAACTACTGAAGGACCTCGGGGTACACTACGTTTCGCGTGGTTTCATTGGACTCTCGAGTGAGGACAGTGACGTTGCCTGGGTGAGTAGTCCTTGATAGTGCGACATAGAGTTGACCGTGCGAGAAGCAGTGATCTCGTGAGTCGAGACCAATGCGGCCACCGAAGGATTGGCCTTGCGCTTTGTTCGTTGTAAGGGCGAAGCACGTGCGAATGGGGAACTGCGTTCGGGTGAAGCCAGGGATGGGAAAGTTGTCGTCTCCTGGTCCGCAGGGCATTCGAGGAAGACACAGTCTGTTGCCTTGGTGTGACCCGGTGGTAACGTGTAGAAAGAGCAGGTTGTTGGTCATGTTCTCGATGACATATCGCGCGCCGTTGACGTGACCGGTAGCGGGATCGAGATTGCGCAGAAGCATGACGATGAAGCCTTTCTTGAGCTTGAGCTTGTGGTCTGGTAGAGCAGATCCGGCGGTCAAGGTGTTGAGCATTTCTGTGGGATAGATCAGCGCGTTGGTGTCTTCGTTCTCGACCTTGTCTGCGCTCAAATACGTTCGATACGATCCCGGAATCATGTTGCCGATGACCTCGTTGACTTCCTCGAGCGGCCTGTTCTTTGTGGTGAGTATAACGCGCTTGGTGAGCCAGGCAGGGTCGGCGTGAATGTCTCGAATGCCTTGGAAGACCTTGAGGCATAAATTGCGGATGGTGTGCTCGAACGCAACGGACTGTGGTAGTGAGATCCATTCCGGGCGCTGTTCGCCTTGAAGTCTGCCTTCCCCGACGCTGAGGAGGAATTCTGGAAAGTTGAGAGCCTCCACATCTGCTGCAGGGTCCGCTTGGAGAGCAGCAAGGCGCATGTTCTCGGTAAGGCGCAGGAATCGGCACTCTCGATACAGCGGGGAAGCCTTGACGCACGCACTCACAATTTGACCTCTGGACCCGCCCGGAACGACGGGAAGGATTTGTCTAAAGTCTCCAGCGAGTACGAGGAACTTTCCTCCGAAAGGCCGGTCGGTTTGCATCAAGTCTCGAAGGGAGCAATCGACAGTCTCAATGCAATGTCGATGGCACATGACGATCTCGTCCCATATGATGAGATCGGCTTGTTGCAGTGTACGGCCTGTGTCGGAGTTTGCGGAGAAGCTGCACGTGCTTTCGGCAGATACAGGAATGGGAATCTTGAACACGGAATGAGCGGTGCGTCCACCGTCGATCAGCACAGCAGCAACAGCAGACGTAGCGACAGCGATGACCTGCTTACGGCGCGTACGAAGGAAGTCTTGAATGGCGCTGAGCACGAATGTTTTGCCTGTTCCGCCAGGAGCATCGAGGAAGAAGAGACGACCACTTCGTGTCGGCATAGAAGGTCCCGCAACGGCGCTTAAGGATCCTTGAAGCAATGCAGAGACGGATACGCCTAGAAGCAAGGAGCCCACTATTTCGTCAAAGGCATGACGTTGATTTGTGTTCAACAGCGGCAACGACGTCTGTAGTCGCCCTTCCCACTGCTGCGCTCGTGCTTCGGGGGTCTCGATCTCGTTTTGCTGTACCAAAGCGGGCAGGCTGTCATCGGGCAGTGGGAGTCCGAAGTTTGCGAGCGTCCAGTCGGATTGCACGGTCTGCAGAGCCTCCTGTACCTCTCAAAGTACGTAAGATGTGGCGTGGTGATCATCGCGAAGCTGCTGTCTTCGAATGGGTTGTCTGCGTGCACGATTGCGAATATCGGTGAGAAACATGTCCAGGTGGTCGTTCCACAGCGAGAGAGGGTCCGAAGGCTGGCAGTGTGCCAGAATCGTAGCAAACAGATGAGAAAGAGGAACGAAGCTTGACCGGAATGAATCTCGGATTGCGTGCTTCCACTCGGCATCGTCGGCCAGCAAACCGAGTCGTAAGCAAGCTTGTCGGAAGCTGGTGCACTGCTCGCCGTCGATATTTGGCAAGTTCTCGAAGGATGTTGTCCCTGGCACTTGTGTGAGGAGGAGGCGAAGAAAGTAGCGCTCACCCTCCCTCGGACTGACAGTGTAGATTCGACCGACTACGTTGGCACCTGTACCACTGAAATCGTAGGCTTCCTCTTCGCTGGTGGCGTTCCGTCTTCGCAGGGTTGCTCTTGGACTCCATGACTTGGTGCGTGTCTTCCACGTAAAGTACCTTGGAAACTTGTGGTACCGAAGATGCCTCGCGCTTGGGTACTTCTCGTTGGCTTTAAACCACTCGGTCAGCTTCGTACCTGATGCTGGTCGAAGCGCCGCCTCCTGCTCTCGCCCTTCCTCAAAGTATACTGTATGGTGGTTGGGCAGATGCACCGTAAGTCTGACCACTGGAGGATTGCGATCTACAATGTCAAAGGAGAATAACCTCCATGCGGCCTCCGATGCCAAAACGTATCTGGCATCTTGGAAGTTGGAGATCTCGTCGTGGCACTCGTTCTCGGCAGTGATTTCCATGGTCACTCGGTCTTGTCCCTTGCAAACATACTTGAAGAGGTACTTGATTCCGCCAACGCGTGACACGCAGAGTTCCACATTCAAATGGCAAGCGAATGATCGTAGAAGCAGAGGACTGTGGGGAACGACCCAGGAGTTGTCGACCACGACGGATTGCTGTCGTCGGCCAACACGGGAGGGTCGCTCGATGGAGGCGCCACCTGCAGAGGGGGACCTTCTGCGGTGCATGATGTAGTACTCACTGTCGGACTGGCTGGTTTCGTGTTTGAACGATTTTGGAAACCCTTTCCTGCAGCACTGCTCGCCCATGCACACGGCTGTTGGATTGCGTTCTCCACATGGATTGTGAATCATATGCTTGAGCACGACCTCTTGGAGTTCTGGATCTTGGGCAGACGGGATCTCGGCAGAGATAATGCGGTCGACGTTTTCGGGAGTACGCAGATCATTCTTGGAGACTTCATCTAGGAAAAATACAACGTGAGCGTGGGGAAGACCGCGTTTCTGAAATTCGATGACTCGTACATGGGCAACGACGGTTCCGAATACTTCCTCGTTGATGACCAAGGACATGAGATCTTTCATTTTCAGACGAAACACACGTGCGCACAGGTCCGGTCTGTCCTGAGGCGTTTGGTTCGGCAGTAGGGGTCTTGTGATCTCCAGCCAGCTTCGATTGCATGTCATAGTGAGGAAGATGTCCGGGTGGCCAAGTTGGTTCGATATAGCAATGATGTCGTGCATCTGCTGCCTCATGTAGCGGTCACCTCCAATGTACGTGGAAGGGAGAATGAACAGTCGTCCCGCACGCACGGCATCGGCTTCATCTTCAGCACGACTGGAGTCTCCTAGGCTGTCGCGCAGTGAGGTGTAGTCGGCGGCTCGAAGCTGTGTCTGGTTGTGGCGGAGATACGAAAGCCTTTCTGCCTCCACTTTGCAGAATTGGTCAACCAAATATTGCTGAAAGAGTCGCGCTGCGTGCAAGATTGTGCTGAACTCGCCTGCTCTTTCGAACAAATGCCATCCGTAGTACATAATCGGAGTAATCTTGGTACGTCTGCCGTCGTCATCACTGGAGAATCGAAGCTCTGGATACCATCTATCTCTACCGTTCGGGAACAAAAGCACGTAACTCAACGGATCGTATGCACGATGACTGACTGAAATCGGATCCAGCACTTCGTTCCCGTTACTGTTCAGAGTCCCTCGCCTGCGCACGACGATATCTCTTCGCCCAATCTCTCCGTCTTCATTCCAGGGATCAATGCTGCCACTTCAGAAGCTTCGGGACCATTGTACCGGCGCACGTGCTCATGACTTGGCCTGCGGTCGGCATGGATGACCATCTGGTACGAGGCTGGAGTGTTGGGTTGAGGGGATTGAGCCCATTCTCGCATACTGAGAACAGTCTGCACGTAGGGGTTGCATTCGTGCAGCATGTGCGTCAGTTGCATTAACAGTGTGTCTTCCAGCCGTGTAGAGGCTCCTCCAAGCCTTGTGCGCGTTTGAGTACCGTAGTCAGTGTCGTGAATGTAAACGGAAGCAAAGGAAGGCGCCCGCCCCTCAGATAGCATCATGGGACCCATGTAATGGTACATCTCGCCCTGCATCGTCATTGTGGGGTTAAAATTGAAAGTACCGGGCCCTCTGTTCACCCATTTGGCGACCACGGATGCCATAGACAGCGCTGAATTGTATGCTCGAATGTTTTTACGGAAGCGGCGGGCCCTTGGAGTATCATCGATGAGAAGAGAGCGCAGAAGAGCTGGCGGGTCGGTGAGAAGGGGCAGTGACAGCTTCCCCTTCCCACAGCATGTGGAAAACATGGGCCTTGCGGCAGAGCTGCTCACGATGCGTTCTTGGACGAAATGCAGAGCTTTGCAGTGCGAACACTCAATATGGACCATGCCGAGATCGCGATACGAAGGCGAGGATTCGGGTAGTGGGGGGAAGAGCTGCCGAGAAGCCGTTCGAGCCTTGCCGTCGGATCGTTGCCGGGCATTCCGAGTCGGTGTGTCTTGTGCATCCCTTGATCGTTGGGTGGATAGACGGTCAAGGTCTCGCCGCGCCTCACGAGCAGGAGTAATTTCCTCGGCTCTAGCTCCTCGTGTCGCATTGCGATCCGCTTCGCGCCGTGCATCTCGGAGGGGGGTATTTTCTTCCGCTCTAGCTGCTTCTGTGGATCTTCGGTTTGAGTCTTGACGCTCATGCCTCTCTGGGGTTGTCGCGTCAGCTCTTCTCTGTTGCATTGAGACACGAGAGGCCTCCAATCGAGTTATGCGGTCAGGAGTGCTCTCAGCCTGTCTCGTGCGTTGCATAGATGCTCGATTCGAGGCTCTGGCACGTTCCGTTGCTGCTCGGAGCTTTGGAGACTCTCTGGGACCCTCTGTCCGTGATTGACCGGCTCGGCGCGCCCTGGTTCTCTCCCTGTTTCGACGAAGACGCTCTTCGCGCTGCTCAGAAGTCTCTGCTGCTCTTCGTGCTGCAGTACGTTCCCGGGCGGTTTGGCGACGCGCTTGAGCCTCAGATTCGGTGTGTTGTCCCCTCCGGATTCTCGCCCGAGCTCGACCTGCCTCACGACGTGCTTGAGCTTCAGATTCCGACTCTTGCGCTCTCCTTGCCCTTGTACGCGCGTTTCTTTGCTGCCTTCTTGCTTCTGCTACGTCTTCATCTGCTGGTCCCGCCATTTGTGTTATGCCCAGCGCGCTAGTGGTATCTCAGCAAGTGCAGCTAGGGTTGACGCAAGTGCGAGGGGTCCGTTGTAGATCGCTATGAGTCGTAGCAAGCAGTCCTCAAAGGTCTAAACGCAACGTCAGCCAGCTAAGTCGTCCGCGAGAGCACTTAGCAAAAGAAGTAACAGTAGGGCCTTTATTGTCTTGTACTATCCCGTGATCAATTGGAGCTTCCTCTTGTGCTTCTTGCCCGCCAGGTGTCGCCTAAACTCGTGGGCACTTGCCACCGTGCACGTACACACCTCGCAGCGGAATGTGCGGCCCGCTTGAATCACTTGAGCCACGTGCCCCTCGGTATGCGCATGCCCGTCCCACAGTACCGCGCGCGTGCAATGAAAGTTGCAGATGTCACACGTGTACACGGGCACACTCCGCAACACAGCACTGACAGCTGGCAACGCGCACGCACGCGGACGCTCGATTGCACGTGGCACACGTGCAGCTGGCAATGCGCGCGCACGCGGCCACTCGATTGCACGTGGCACACGTAGCCCACGAAATGTAGGAATGATAGGCGGGAGCAAACGTATAACACGTGGGACCGGAGCGCGTGGTACACGTGGTGCGGGTGCTGGCGCAGGGGCGCGTGGGAGCCGTGGCACACGTGGGAGCGGCGCCCGCGGTACACGTGGGGCGGGCGCGCGCGCAATTCTGGGGACGTGTACACGTGGGGCGGGCGCGCGCGGAGGAGCTGGTTGTAGGACTGTGACACGTGTGGTCGCTGGCGGGGAATCGCCGAGATCGAGGCGGATCGGGGTCGCAGCGCGGCGCGCGCGGCGTAGTTCTTCTCTCTCTTCTTGCGTAGACACTGCGTCAAAAACCACACACCGTCAAATGTCAGTAAGCGTTCGCGTGCGCTCTAATACCGCGGGCGGCAAGCCGGCCGGAGCAAAGAGGACAGTTAGTAACTGACTGATTTCGCGTAGACGGTGTGCGCCGGGATCGCTAGCGAACGCAAAGCGGATCGGGGCTGTATTATTATTTTTACTCTACTGTAGTGTTAAATTTAAATTCGTAAACTACTGTAGTGCCGCATTGGTGCCCGTGGTTGCCACGTGTCCCAGTGGCGGCCTGGCCTGCGGCCAGGCCGCCCCAGTCCGCACAGTACACTTGTCACTGTAGTAAAAAATGAAATTAAATCACGGCCCCGCCGCTTTCTACACGTGTCCGCGTGGCTGCCTGGCCTGCAGCCAGGCCGCCCCGCACGTGGCCGCCACTTGTCGCCGCAGCGCCCCCGTGCGCCATGCGGCCAGGCCGCCCCGCACGTGGCCGCCACTTGTCGCCGCAGCGCCCCCGTGCGCCAATGAGAACCCGTGCGGGAGCGCACGAACACACATACACAAACACACAGACAGACAGACACGGAAATTAGTATACGCAGGGATCTCTCGATAAGCGGAACCAGCACGGAAGAACCCCTCCGGTTCCGCTTAAAGGGGGGTTCCGCTTATCAAAGTATATCATACCGAGCACTGTTTACCAATCATTTCACATCTTCATAATTTTATTTAAAAAAGCTATCGATGGTCGTTTGCTGCATAGACTGCGTACAGTACAGACGTACCGCGGCCTGCATTTTGCGCACAGCCCGCAGAAAATCTGCACCTTCCTCGCCCGTACTTTCTGCGATGCGCTTTGTTAAAGCTAGCGCCCTGAGCTGCTCCTTTCTGCACGGCGGTTCGGCACAGCCATCCACAATTTCGTCACAGCTATTCACTTTTTCTCTGCTGACCACGTCAGCAATATTTGCATCTCTCCAAAGCTCTGTGCATTCGTCCTCACCCTCAGCATTAAGTAAATCTGCAATAGAAATACGTCTTCCTACAGGCACTAATTCCTCCATTTGCCGCTCAACTTCTTGCACCAAGCCACTCTCGTCTTCCACTATATCAATCATAGGCTCGGCCTCAATTAACCCTGTGTGACGCCAGCAATTTGCAATAACATCTGACGGCAGATCCTCCCAACACATCTTAAACCATCGCATAGCTGTTAGAACGTTAACTTTGTAGATTTGTTTTGCTTCTGTATCAATGTTGTCCAGTGTACGATCCATTTGCCGGCGCCTGTATCGAAGTTCGAAAGCCGCAATTATTCCTGCATCGAGAGGTTGGATTTTAGAGGTGCAATTTGGGGGCAAGAACACGACCTTCAAATTTGGGAGAGTTGGCAAGTTAGCCTCACTCCCATGCGCCGAGCAATTATCAATTAAAAGCAGAACACTCCTCCCCGGCGTTTTGGAGACATTCACCTGAAACCGCAGTAGCCAATCATTAAATAATGTCGCAGTCATCCAAGCCTTCTTATTGGAGTAATAATCGAAGCCAAGCTCTGCAGCAGATTTTCGCAGGACGTACCTCATCTCGCAGCCTCGATGCTCCGTGGTACTTATGGCGCCACCGTGAGCCTCTTGCCAGCCCCCCTCTCCTGGCCATGTCTATTTATCTTACCCGCCCAGCCCCGGGTGCGCCGCCCTCTCGGTAGTTTCCTATCTCATCATGTTACTTTCTCTTTATGTTTTCTTTATGTTTCTAGATCGGTTTAATGGTTTGCGCAGCCTTTGTGTGTCCTCTTTTGTCGATATTCCGTGACCGACTAGAACCAATAAAATGCGAATATCTTCAAATACCAAACTGTAAAAACAACTGCAGTTGCATGATCTACTTTTTCTGCCCTTTCGTTTGAGCTACTGTTCGCTACTCTACCTTGTCTTCATGTGAAAACTGCAAGTTGGACAGGTGTCCTTAAACTTTCAGTGCGTACTGTAGAAGTCAAATACAGTGGCGAGGGTATCCTTCTCCTTCTTGGCGAGAAAGCGGAAGTCTAGAAAAAAGTAAGTTGAAAAGTGACCTCATATCCCTAGTGTTCATATGTACGATGTATCGTACATAACGACAGATCCAGAAATTTCTGAACTTGCTCTATGCCCGATACATCAACGTTGTCCGTAAAATAACGCGTTGTTTTTTTTCCATTTGCCCACAAACTCGCTGGACGTAAAGTAAACCCGAGTTTGAAAAATCCCACCACGAGTTTTGCGGACTGACCTCCAGCAAGGTACCTGCCCGCAACAAACGCAAGTCTGGTGCATCGTTGTGCCGCCCGACGGATCATGTGTTACTGCGCGAATACTCGCTGAAGCGAACATTGTGGCTCACCACAAGGATAGAAAGGTTCTCAGTCGAAAGGGCGATGTGTTTCGTCTTCTTGACAGGGTGAGGGGGGCCGTTTGGAGAGGACCGCTTTTGAGAAGCTTCTACTTATCTATCTTTCGCGGTTGCTTCGGCGGCTTCTGTGACAGATCCTGTCGCGCTTTGATCCGTTGATGGACTCTGGGTAGATGACGTGATAGGGGCGTCCATGACGCAAACCGGTACGACCCGTGCAGTGAGACTCGTTTGTGCTGATGAGAGAGCGGAAACCTCACTTCGTTTTCCTTCAAGACGGGTCGATCCGGCACTGCTGTAATCAGGCGGATGTGAAAACTCGTGGAAAACTCACATGCCCCGAGTTTTCGGTATGCTGTGAGTTTTCAAAACTCGTCTGCAAATTTTGCAATCAGAAAATCCGAGCAAACTCGAGGCCAAAACACGTGTTTTCGAATTTACGGACAACGTTATCGTACATTAAAGCTTCGTTTATGCCATCTTTGACCTCCTGTTTCTTAGAAACGAGTGTTAGTTTCTCACTGGCGGGTAGGTAGTCAAACTCTGTGGGTTGTCGAGAACATACCACGTGTTCAATTTCCGCAGAAACGAAGTACAGGCTGCGAACAACAGATCAAGGCGTACCGTCTCGCTCTCACCAGCACTTTCCCCCTCACGGGTCTATTCGCAAAACGTTACCCCCCTAAGCCACCGGCCACGCCTCCTCGGATCGCTCAGGCCTCCTTAGATCCTTCAAACTTCGAGGATGGGCAACAAAAAACCGCCCACATCGCCATTGCCAGCAACTAAAGCCACCCCCTTCCTGCCGCAATGAACCAAAGCACCGCGCCCCCCCCCCCCCCCCCCCCCCCCCACATGCCCAGGAACTACTTGAACGTTCGCCTCCTCCCCCCGAGGCTCTTCTCATGCCACTCAGGAGTGCATGGGGGAGCCAATTTTTGAATTTGGAGCATCAGTAACTCTTCTCCAGTTGGAACAGCTTCCTCCTTTGCCTCATCCCTTGTCGTCGCCTCAACCTGTGATCGCTCGCAATCTCTCAACGCTGTCTAATCTCTCGCAGCCGCAACTTATAAGCAAATCTATGGAACCCCGTCATGAATCAGGACCACATCCTGAATTTCTGCAACTTAATACTACTGTGGAGGCATCTCTGGATTTTTCTGTCCCATCAGCAAGGCCTGCAGAGAGAGGGCGAGGGCAGAGGGTACGTGCGAGGCGGGGACGTGGTACACGTGCGAGCCGAATTCAGCGGGGATCCGGTCAGAAAAGAAGCATGCCGACCGAGGGCTGGAGAGTACTACCAGTACGCAAGGAGCCAGTAACTCTAGACAATGAGTTCGTCGAGGAAGGAAAAGAGGTTCTTCAGGCGTTGTGGGGCCTGCACAGAGTTCTCAGAGGCGCCGTATAAGACGTTGAATAGCTCTTAAAGGATAACCAACCCTCAGTTATGTACGATACATCGTACATAATGCGATTTTGGTCTATATCTTGGCTTCGATGTTGCAGTTTTTGGGATGCTTAGAATTGTAGGTTGAAGTGCTTCAATTATCCTGATACTTTACAGAGGCACTACCGGCACCCTCCGGAATGCGTCTGTAAACTTGGAATCGGCAAGCGCAATTGCACGGAGCGGTTATGATTCTCAGAAATTTATGTACGATACATCGTACATTAAAATTGAATACTAGGGATATGAGAACTAAAGGGCGGATATATACTAGAGCGTTCTCGAAATCTATTTGTACTTCTTTCGTGTGGGGAAATCGTGTCCGTCTTGACCTTTCGTGTTCCTGGGGTTTCGACTAGAAATGATGTCGCTTGAAAACCTTCGTTTTAAAACCTTGGAACCAGTGAAGTTTTGTTCCGCCACCGAAGAACGAAGTAATGAAGAGACATTGCATGTCTTCCGGCGAGAGGAATCAGCTTTCAAATATGAATTTCTGCCGGATTGTGCATATAGGAACGTATTCAGCCCACTTCCGTCAAGCACTTCATCCTCTTCGTCGACATTCACGTTTGGGTAGCTTGTCCTCAGTATCGCCTCTGATTTTATACTTTGGAAGTCAAAATCTTGACCTCGTACGCTCTCATGCACAAAACGATTGCATGCCGCGCCTATCTCGACAGTATCTGCCTGCGCCTCACACGCTATCTCATGGCTGACAGTTGTTAGTCCAGATCTTTCTGTTGTGTAACAAGTCTGACAGAGAGCGGTCTGCTCCTGCTTCACAGACGATTCTCGTCCCACCCGTGACTCATGTCTTGGAACGGCATTCTTGACATCTGGCGTTATAAAATGATTGAATTTCATTTCTTGCTTGCCATCCGGAGTAGATACTGGTTTCGAAATGACGCCTTTCGCATGTTCTATATTAAATCTATTGGGGTTTGAGCCCTTAGGGCTGGCAGGCTTGTCACTGTCTGGTAGCTGTACACAGGCGGGGCATTTCCACCCAGGATTCTTCAATTGGCTGCTTGTCGCTTTCTTATAGAGCAGAAGACATGCGCTATGGAAAGCTATTTTGCAGGTGGCGCATGCTTTGTCACAATCCAATTTCATGTCCGGGTCATTTCGTCTGTAGCATTCTAAGCAATTCAAGAACCATCTCAAATCAACCATCTGAGACACTGGTATGTCATGTATTTTTGCAGCGTGATGGCAGCCTGGGCACAGCCAAGCTCCTAAAGGAATTGTTTTTCGCGTTGGACGCATGCAAAATACATGGCAGCCCCCAAAACATGCATCGCATAGAACCAAGCTGTCGTCATGGGTAGATTCTTCACATACGAAACATGTCACAGAATTAAGCTCCTTCAGAACTGAAGGATGCACCTTGTGCTGAACCTTGTCATCCGGGATTCGGCGCTCATGAAGTCTAGTTCGCTTATTTCCATTCTGTGGAACTTTCTCCATTGCCCTGGCGACTGTGGGTCGACCGCTGCATGTCAAAACGTTTTGCGCTTCCTCCTTTTTTCGTGGACCTTTTATCTTGATCGGTCTCTGACGGGCAGCAGGTCTTGGGTATTCCTTGTTCCCGTTTCTGCGCGGTAAGAGAGGGTTCGAGGACGCATCTCTCAGCTGTTTGCGATCCATCGGGATGTCCTTCGACCGAAAATTAGAACAGGTATTCCGCGGCCTTTTTCGTGTCACAGGAGATTGCCGTTTGTCTTGATTTTTCACTTTGCTGCCGTTCTGCGTGCTAGTTGGGGGCCGTAATGACGCGTCTTTGTCCGTAACACCTGTACCTGAACCTGACTCAGGCTGCATTGGATCAATACCGACATCACTCCAGGCACTGCACTTTTTCTCGGTGCTATCGAAAAACTGACCGCCTTCGTCTTGTCCAAACGCCTGAAAGATCGACGCATGAATCTCATCTACACTTGGCACGCTATGCGATGCGTGGGACGACATGGCGAAATTTTTCACAGGTCTGCGATATGAACAGCTTGCTTGTGATTCTTCTCTCAGATTATTCTCATTAGGCGGCGGTGCTCAACACGAGGATGACTCGGCTGCCATATGTATGCCACGAGTATTCGCTCGTACAAAGCGGGCCCAGAGCGAGACAGCGTGTCGGCTATCCGGACTGCGACTGCTTTTCCTTACGCCGTCGTCCCGTGCTGCACTTTCAAAGTGCGCGCGAGTAGTGCGGAAAGGTCATTGACAGTTATCACTTGATGTCGCGGGAGGAGGAGTCGAGTTCGCACTAAGACGTAAACGCTCTGGGACTGAAAATCTCAGTTGCATGGGGAGATACTGTACGACATTTCGCGGCCTCGCTGTGAGGTGAAAGTCAAAAAACTGTTTAATTTGGTCAAACAAAAAAGGTGTTTCTGATTTTTTTCAAGTATCCCATGATTTATAAATACTGTACCCTTGGTAATTTTACAATGCGCCCAGATACAGATTGAAGCTTCAAACTGAACAGTCAGAGGACCCCTTTTCGTTCTCATCATGCCGTAGGTATTACTGCATGTCAAAGGACGTTATGCACTCCTTCTAGAATTCTGTTGCCAATGAGCAAAGCTGGAATAAGCGCAACAAGTGCGAGCACGCCGTTTCCCCCACCGAGGAAAGGTTTGAAACCTTTTTTACCTTCTTTCTGTCGATTTCGCCATGCCATTGCAGCCGGGAGTCCCCCAAACAGGACTGCAATTCCATACGTTCCGGCAGCATCCAACGCTGGAAGAAAAATGTCCGGGGAGAGGGCAGTGAACGCAACCGGCGGCACCAACGTCGCAATGAAACTCTGGTACTTCGTTTTGGCGACATGGGCCTGCGACTGACCAAGAGCGGTTATCCTCACGTCTGTCCACAGCTCGGTAAGCCCTTCCACGAAACCGACAAAGCTCGTTGCCACTGCTAGTAGCGAAAAGCAAGCAACTGCTAGCCCATCTTGCGCTGCGAGTCCGCCGCTGCCAAGAATCGCCCCATTGTAGATCAAAAACATTGCCAAGGGAAGTGCACTGCCTCCCAGAATCACGCGTCGGATTTTCTTGCGATCCCCTTCGAGACGCATCGTCACGGTGGAGACCACATTGTGATACACACATGAAACAAACAAGACGGGTAAAATTGATCCATGCACCAGCGAGCCCCAGTGCATATCTGACAGTAGTCGAGAGGCGTCCACGTGACCTCCAGCTCCTGCGACAACCAAACCGAAAGACGCAATCACAGCAGCCACCATCGCGTTGTTGATGCGCTCTACCGTACCCTTAGACAAGGCATACATTCCACCTCCTATTGCAACAGCAAACAGCGTTCCCATCAAAGCTTGTGGAGGCAAGACATTGGAAGTATGTAGAGCAGACTCGGCCCAACGCAGCAATTCTATGAGCATGGCGCCTCCTTGTGATGTATACGCAGTGAGAATAGCGTAGTGTAAAAGCGTATAGGAAAGGGCTGCCACTACAGAGCCTGCCTTGCCGAGTGTCAACTCGCCGAGAGATAACAAGGATACTCCCGATGGGCGCCCTATCGAGCATGCGACGTTAATGCTCAATTCTAAAAGATGTGAGAAGTAGTTCGTTGCTCGTGAATGGGGTTAGAGGCCAGTGTTCCATCGTCGGCATCGCGTGGTGTAGATAAAAAGTACGTACCACTAATCAGGAGGCCTGTTGTAGACATATAAGCCCAGACTCCAACGAGAGCGAAGGAGGAAGGCACATAGCCTGCAGGTGCAGCGACTGCTGGAAGCGCAAGCACTCCTGCACCAACCATGGTTCCCTGTGTGCGTAGGATATGAACGACAAGTCAGAGGCAGTGACGGTGCAGACAAAGGATTCCGTTTCATTTCAGTCAAGAGAGCGTCTGACATACCGCTATCAAAGCAGCGCATCCTAGTTCAGAAGGAGGTACACGCAAAAAGGACCCATCCTTGCCAGGTTCAATATTGGAAAACATGCGAGTGCTTTGTTGTTCCTCAGGGAGGGGGATAGGATTTCCAATGTCTTCGGGCGTTTTTGTTCTCTCTTTAGTTTCAGGTGTCATAACAGCACGCCAGCTTCGCATCAGTGCAGTAGTTTGGCGACATGACGGCTGTGGACGATGAGGAGGCGACGTGAACGTAGGCTTTCTGGTAAGTTGAACGTGTGACGGCGAAAATGAAGAGACGAAAGTGGTTCTGCTTGAAGCTTCCATTGCGATATTGGATGCCATACTTTCAGACGAGGTAGTTTGACGGCAGGGCCTTCGTCTCATAAATGCGCAGCAGACTTCTATTGTTCGATACCAAGAGCAGAGCCCAATGCGACCGCAAGTTGCAGAGATTGGATGTCATCCCAGTTGATGAGGCGTTTGATTGGCTGTATGTGCCGCTTCGCGGACATGCGCTTTGATAAAGAGCACCAGCTGCCACTCATTACTGTGATTGCCGCCAGCTCTTTGCTAATCGCTTCACGCGATATTTTGCAGAAGTAATGTGGCCAGCGAAATTACAGTGTCGACGTGACATGTTGCATTGCTGTAGAGTACGGACATATTTAGCTTCATCATACTGTACCAAAGCTGAAAGGATCGTCGTATGATTTCATGACTTTCAAAAGTCAGAGGATCTACCTTCGATCGATATTGATCGGATAAGGAGCACCTTTAAAAGCATTAGATAAGACCCGTCCTGTAGAAATGTCGACATGGGCTCTCTTCTGCAGGGACGTTGTGAATCCGATTGTAGAAGCCGAAAACTTTTCATGCAGAGAGAGAGAAAGAGAGACAGAGAGAGTGGTGGCAGGGGTGAAAAAAGGCTGGACATTCGAACATTGGGTTGTGCCGGGAAGCGCACATGAGAAACGGTGAAACGGCATGGTAGCTGGAGCCGAGATGGTAGAGAGGAAAGAAAAGTGGCTCATGGCGGCGAGAGCGCCAAAAAAGGTGGTGAAGGTCTCTTGGCCGGAATGCGGGGAGTGAAAGAGAGAGTGAGGATGCGGAGCGAGATGGGCACGACAAAAGATTCTGGAGGTCTTCCAAGAGAGAAGAGAGGCATGTGGAAATGATGAGGCTTTATTCGGGGCCTCTAGTATTTTTGCTTCGATACCATACTGGATCAATGCGGCTAATGTCAACAGCTGTGATGCAATGTCATAAAGCTGCGTCATTGTGAGCTACTCAGTAGTTTTGCATCTTTCAAGGATACAAAACTACAAATTAAGACTCTGGCTACATCTCCTTGCTTGATGAAATTGACTTGGCGCATGCTTCACACAGAGAGGGATTGAAGGCGAGGTTCAAGGTGGAAAGTAGAGCGAGGGACGTACATTTGACAAGTGGAAGGACTGCATTTGACCTCACCGAACCTTACTCCAGCTCTACTATGTAGACGAGTACGTCGGGTCTTTCCTCACGACTCTGTGGTTTGTAGGCGCCCACACCAATGATTGGGCTGATTAGTATGGCTCTTGTGTGCGGTTTCAGCCACAGTTTTGAGCAGTAATCCCTGCTTTGGTTGAACATCGCTGAAGGCATCCCATGGTCATCATGTTGGCAGCGTCTGCTTACATGTCTATCAGACAACAAAAGCTTGTTTCGGCAGACTGACGTTTCTCCCGTATCTTAGCTTACCGGTACTGCAACAGTCTGTTGAACGGAAGGAGTAGGGGGAGATGATCCAAATCGAGAATGAATGTTGTATTGGAAAACTATATTGCATGATACTGATATAGCCTCATACATTGAGAACTGCTCGAGATAAGATGATTCACAGATACGGTATTATCATCGATTTGTGCGGACTGATTAGAAATCTTATAGACCTCACTCGTTTAGCTAAAGAATTGAATTATGAAGTACTTTGAAGGCCAGAAGAGTCTATACGAACCGAGCCGCTGATCTTCTCATCCGGTGTGTTAATGAAACGCGTACGGCTTCAGAATCCATTTTGTCCGTCGGTAAAGTTTAGCGAAACGGGTTTTAACATAGTTCATGAGGGTGACCCCACCGCCAACAAAATTTCAGTCCTAAAATTCCAACTACTAAAGTTTGGACCGATGGAAGAGATTTTGAACCCCACCGCGCCAGCATTTGTCCTAAAGTTTAGAATTTGGGCAGGATTCTTTTCCAAACCAAAATTATTTGGTCGAGATTTTTGTCCAAAGCGCCGTTTGGGCGAGCTTCGTTCTATAGTAACGGTACAGAAAACATCTGAATTTCATGTGCTTACAGCTCTACCAAAGCTCTTCCAAATGGCTTTTGCGCCAATTGTGGAACAGACGCGTGCAGTAGCTTGCTTCTTTGCGCCAAATGTATTTCTACGACAGACTTGTAGCCTAATTGGGGTGACCCTGAATACGATAGAAGTATCGTGTTACAGGCTCGGTAGGGTTCATCTCTGAGGGCCATTGGGAGCCTCCGAAAGCAACAAATCACAATTTGCGAGCCCCCTTTTTGTGATAAAGACACCCCGCTGCAGCCGTTTGTGTCGTATCAAACCCGGCTCTTGTCTGAGGGGGGGAGCCCCTCAGAGCCAGGCGACACCCGTACCTAATCGCTTTTCTGGCGCCAAAACGTCTCTAGCCGTTACACGCACCAGACGCAGACGACCCATCGCGTCAGCTTGATCCTGCTCGAAACTTGCTCACTGCGCTTCTTGCGTGGCTTCCTGACTCCTCATCCTTCGCTGCTCTGCTCCGCTATACTCCGCTCCGCCCTTCTTCGCTCCGCTGTACTCCGCTACGCCCTCCTCTGCTCCGCTGAGCTCCGATACGCCCTCCTTCGCTCCGTCCTTCTCCGTTACGCGCCTCTCTGCCACTGGCTTCTCTCCTGCTCGCTTGTATGCCGCTAGCCTCTTCGCCCAGTCCTACCCCGCTCTGTCCCCATTCATTTCGTGCTTATCTGTGACTCGCCTCTCTGCCCAACGCTTTTTGCGCTTATTGCGTGACATGAATCCATCACAGCGTCCTTCCGGTTTATTGGAAATTGACGACAGAAACCCCACCACCTCGCACGATCGCACACCGCAACGTGGCCTTGCTGATGATCATACCCAGATGCTCGAGCCGCGTCCTGCCCCATCAACCGAACTGCACCGCAGCCCATCCATGCTCCATCCCTCTGAGGTGTTCCTGGAAAGCACTGAAGACGGTAATGCCTTCCGCCCTTCCTCCTCTTATACTCCTTCCCCTGCGCCCTACCGAAGGGTTGGTGAAGTACCGTCCGTTTTCGATTCGAGCCCTGTTACGGAAGCTTCAGCTTCCCTGCCTACCGCGGAGCCACGAGCAAGCGACACATCATCGCTGGCACCGCCCAATTCTCTCAGAAATGTTAGGGAGCTACAAAGGCTGCCCCCAAGACGCCTAGTGACTAAACGAAGGCGCAATGAAAATGGAATAAAGAAGGCAAAACGGGGAGGGAAACGGGAAAGTGGGTTTTCACAGGGAGAGACGGACAGCCTGTTGGAGCTGCTGCTGGAGCACCTGCCACTCTGCAAGGACGAAAGGGAGAAAATAGCACGACTGCATGAACTCCGCTATCCTCAGCAGGGGAGAAATCCTGACTCTTTGCGCAGGAAGATTTCTGCTCTTTGTCGTACAGTACCTCCCACTGGGGACCCCAGTATTCCCCGGGATGTTTTGAAAGCCAAGGAGATAGGAAAGGAGATGACGGAGAGAGCTGATCTAGGGGACGGGGAGGAATCAGATGATCAGTACACTAACGAGTTGGGCCACACTCTTCCGTTTTCAGCATTGCATTCAGGCTCGCTAAGTGCTCCCTCGGGAGCGCCAACACCAGACCCGTCACCATATCCTCTTGAAGACGACGCTGCCAGCAATGACATATCTCGTCGCGACAGCGGAGTGGAGTTGGTGTGTCCAAGACCGCTTGTCAGAAAGCGTGGGGCGGTCAAAAAATCGGCGACTGATGAAGACAGTCTCATGAGAACTGTTAAGGCATGCATGGTTCAAGATCAGATAAATCGCGATGCTGAGTACAAGCAGCGCCTTATCGATCCGAGTGAGGAGCGTGAGCGTAGGGAAGAGGAGCGCAGAATCCGTGAGCAAGAACGCGCCGACGAGCGCGAACGCAGAGCGGAAGAAAAGGAGCGTAGCGAGCGGATGACTAATATGGTTATGCTAGCTTTTCTCGGTAAGGGTGCTAGTGATTTAATCACCTAGAACACAAAAACTAAGGACAGCTAGTGTGAATATGGATCTAGTTTGCAAGATGCGGTTTGCCTCCACGCTCAAGTGAGGCATATATGAATGTAGTATTTGATTGATGCCGACTAGCTGAGACCGCAAGTTGTATAGGAGCATCATGCACATGAGTACAACGTTTCGCTCACCTCTTTCTTCGTAAATAAATCGGTCTTTGAGCCTTGGAAAGGTCCCTTGAAATGACCTCATACCCCATTCTGATGCTTGACGGGCGGACGTTGCCTGTCTGAGTGTCATGATGGATTCGATGGTCCCATCGCTTCCGACAACGCAGTCTTGTGCGGACTTAATTAAAAATGGATAGTGGGTCCTTGAGAATGCTGATTCGACTACACATTGCCCTCCGTGCTCATCGAAAGCTTCTTTGAGCTTGTTGTATATTTTTCCCCATTCAGCTACTGTGGAGTCGTGCATTGACCCGGGGGCATTTATTGCACAAGCAATAACTGCACCATTTGGAGAGAAGACGAAAACATTTGAGACGTAGTGATCATGCTTCCATCCATTATAAAACATGTTCTGTATAATGTAGTCACCCGACTGTTTCAAGTACAATTTGAGGCCATCTACCACACAATAAACGTCCTTCAACATAGAGTACTTTGTCCTAAACGCCGTCTGGAAGCGTTCAACGTCTGTGGCCGTCGGCATTGTGATCCTGGCCATAGCGTTTTCTTTAAGTACTTTTAGAAGAATTCGACGATCGAAACGGAGAAAAACACAACACACCGAGCCTGTGATTCCAAACATCAGACAAAGAACGAACTCAGCACCTCTTGTTCGGTGCCAAGTCAGGATCAATCCTAAACAATGAGCAGCAGACATGCTCCGGGGACGCCCTAGACTGACTGTAGAGTGCAGAAGACGAATGTTTCCATCCGACGAGTAGGGCGTGAATCCATAGTAAAATGGCGCAAATAGTCTTAGTAAGAATTGAAACGCACGGTTGTCAAAACCTGTGAGGGTTATAAGTGACTGATCGCAACCCGAACCGAGCACAACTGCGAAAGTGGAAAGGCTAGGGGATTGAAGGGCTCTGCGTCGCATGCGCCTGTCGCGGCGTCTCCGGCCCTCCAAAGACAGGCGATGACGAAATGCTATCTGCTGGTTGCGACGGTTATTGAGGAGTAATGCTAGAAGGGCTGTCGTGAAGACGGACATTTTGAGCGCATAGCGAAGAAAAGGAGGCACTGTGGGACTCATGCTCGTACGTATACTGCTGACGAGCATTTGCTATAAACACACTTTGCTACTCGGAATTTTCGCAGGCATGCAGTATCAAATTGTCTTGTCTGGAGCAAATAGGTACCGAAGCAAAATGCGATTTTCGGATACTCCCATTCCATTCATCGTGATTGGCAATCACGCAATCACGCAATCACGTCAATAAATGGTGCCTGCTCCCTTGTGGTTGGTTGTTTATATTACGTTTCCCAAAAAAATGGTCATGCTCATTAAAGAAATAAACAATCGACTTAAAATTAATCTTGTGCTCCAACTTGCAGAACGACGTTAAATTAATGTCGTGATTGCGTGATTGCGTGATTGCATGATTGCCAATCACGATGAATGGAATGGCCCTTAATCACCACCTCCCCCAAAGCGCGGCTTGATTAAAAGATAGTAGATCCAATTACCGGAGGACAACTGTCTGCTTTTTGCGATTTTGGGCAAGGCGCGGTTTGGTCACCCTGAGCGTCGCATATGATGCCCTCGTGTTTTTGAAGGAGAAGAAAACGCCTGCCCGGGGTTTTCTGTTATCGGCATCCTAACATAGGATTCCTCCCGTCATGAAAAAACTGTACCTTCGACGGCGGGGATCTTGCCGTCAAGTTATTGCGTGTTGCGCTATGTAACGAGCGTCCGGTCAACACTAAATCTTTGGCCATTTTGACGTTACGGCATGTTGATACACACGTCTTGAGAAGCCATCACCTCCGAAAAGTGAAGGCAAGCACATAAGAACTGACTCTACACTTACAAGTTTTGAGCGATAACGGAATAGAAAAGGCTGCGGACTACTTGTATCCGATCCTATACATTCTATGACATGTTCGGAGGAAGCACAACCCTGGTGTATAGGAGGGACAGCAACTATTTTCCCTTCACAGCTTGGCGAACTCTATTCAAACGGGCGTACCATTTGTAAATATGAGAGCTCTTCCTGGTGTTTTGCTCCGATTCCATCAAGAATATACAATCTCTTAATGTTAGCGGGAGCTTTGGTTGCGGCTTGGGGACGTCCTTTTTCGCACTGGGTTCTGTTCCTGGCATGCTAGATGTTCGCGGTCCACCCAAACTAACTAGGGGACAGAGAGCCTTCAGCTTTTCTAATTGATCGATCTTCTTTCCATTCGTGCCCACACTCTTGTTGGACATACTATCCCCACCGGCTGAGCTGACGAGCTTAGGAATTGGGGGCAAGCTCGAACCACTCGTGCGGGAGCCTCCAGACTTCGTGATAGGCGGGAGTAGTGGCGCCAATCCCGCCAAGCCTTTTCCGGTTGCTGGCTTCTTGCGCCTCTTGTCAATACCCGCTACTAATCCGGACAAGGCATCTCGTTGACTACTATTCTCTTTGCGCTTCTTCTCTAGAGCGATCTTCTCCTTTCGCTCGAGCTCGGCTGCCGCACTAGCATCTTTAATCTTCTTCTCTTCCATTTCAGCCTCCCCAGCGAGCTTCTTTGCCTCGCGTTCCTCCTGCTCTTTCTTTCTCTTCACGCGTAACTCCGCAGCAACAGTCAAAGATCGTTCTTCATCCTCACGCATTAACTCGAGCTTTTCGTGAACGTTTTGGCCGAAATATTCCGTGTTCCAAGACTCTTTGTTAGCCTCGATCCGTACCCTTGCAATGCCCTTTAAAGACTCCAAAAGGTTCCGCAGCCGTTCTTGTACGGCCAGTGAAACAATTTCCATGGCATCCTTTGAAATGTTTTCGCTCAGAGCGTAGCGCTTCGCAGTCACTTGCATCTTTGTCCTTAGAGCTGGGCCTGACAAGAGCATACCGGGGTCATAATCGATAATTTCGATGACTTCGGTATTTACCACACCTGCATCCTCGCCGAGTTTGTCGACCTCATCGTCGAGGTCTACGACATCGTTCACAAGATTCAACTCGTCGTCGACGCGCTTGGCCTTCCGAACTTGAGTTCCAGGACCAGTGCCCCCAGGAGCCGAGTTGGAGGAGCCACCTTTGCCAGTAGCCAGCGCACTTCCACCTCCACTTCCCATGTTGGTGCCGGGGCCTGTTCGCCCCTTTGCTGTATCGATCCTTGCCGGCTGCGGCTTGGTAGGTCTATTCGGGTCGGTGGAGGAAGGAAAAGGGCCCGCTTTTCGCCTATTGGTAGGTCCCTTCGACGCCTTGGGAGTTGGCTTCGGTTTTTTCATGGAACTGCCCGTCGGTGATCCGCTACCGGCATCGAATGGTCGCTTTATAGAGCCTGGAGCGACTGCTGCGGACCCTGCTCCTGCACTTCCAGATATCACAGGTAATGAGGGCTTCTGCCTCACAACGGATCCCTTTGAAATGGTTTTGCTCAGACTCTTTGATGCTTGAGATTTCGCAGCTCCTTTCAGTGGAGAAGTCTTAGCGGCATTTTTCACCGGTGCCTTTCGAGGGCCCTTTGGTTTGGTACCCGGAGCTACCTTGTGGACTAAACCTGCGGGAAGTTTGTTCGCCAGCAATCCTTTGCTCCCTGTAACCGCTTTTCCTGCTACACCTCCCATCACAGACACTTTCGGTACATTGGTCGCAGTAGGGCCTTTCAAGGCAACATGTGCTGCGGGCAGAGTAGATGGTGGTCGTAAGATACTCTTTCCTCCGATGGATCTGACCCCAGGAGCTTTCCCAGGTGCTGCTCTGCTTGCACCAACCTTTGGTGTGTTTGGAGAGGATGTCTTTCTCGAAGGTACCGTTTTTCTGGATATACTCTTTCCACCAGTCTTCCCAGGCAGTTGGGCTTCCTTTTTCACAATATGCGGGTTTATCAGTTGTGCCTCCTTTCCAGAAGCCTTCGACCCTACTGCAGCTCTCCCTGGAACTGTCCCCGGCATCGAATACTGCATCTTCGCATTGGCGCCTGGTGGCTGCAAGGCCGCGGATCGCGCCTGCTGCTGCTTCATTTGATGGATGTGCAACGGAATCTGTTTGTTCTGCACCACCTGCCTTCTCTGCTGTTGGCCCACATGCTGAAACTGTTGCTGCGGCACCTTTCTTTCCCCGCGGCCTGACTGAGCTTTTTGCCGCTCAAACTCGCTCTCGTACCACTCCTTAAACTCTCGAATCAGGTCAATGCCAAACGCTTGGGGGCAGCTATCTCGCACAAAGCGAGCTACAGACTCGAGCAGCTTCTGCCGCGGAATGTGTCCTCTCACCCACTGAGCCCACGCTTTCTTAATATGCTCCTTTAAGCTGACCTCCGCTGTCTGTTTGAGCGGGCTTCCTTCCATAACTTTAGTCAGAGTCTTGATTGCAAAGCGGCAAAAGTGACCAACGATAACTTGCTCTTGCGAAATCTTAGCCGCCTGAGGACGGCCCTGCCCCGGTGCGGGCTGGCCTGGTGGCATGCGCTGCTGCGGTATCCCTGCGACTGGCACGGCACGAGAAGCTCCCCTAGCATGGGTTGAAGTGCCAGTTTTCTTCATGACGGCGTTGAGCTCGGCCGTAATATCCGGCCGGGCTGATGACGCGGCAGACTGCGAACTCGCCGCAGCGCTACTTGTGACAGCGCGCACGTGCCCCCCGACGGATGCGGTAGGCTCTCTCTTCGGGATGGCCTTTGCTTGCAGCTGCTGTCTCCTATATTCGGCAGAAACCTTGCTGTCGGCGGCTCTGGCGTTGATATTGGGCATACGTGCATGGGCCTGCGCACGTGCCTGCAACGGCATGATGGGGACCGTGGGAACGCCAAACGGGGATACTTGAGTGTTCTGAGGTTGGGGTGTTGCCAGGGGGTGGGTGACGGCGCGGCCAGGGGTGCTTCCGAGGTATTGTACAAGCTCGTCCAAGTTGCCGCGAACGCTTCCGTTGAGATGCTGGCTGGCCGGATTGGCGACGCGGGGTCGGGAGTTGGTAGTAGCAGTACGTGGGGGGGCCGCTATGGGGACCGTGGTCGGCGGGTTGAAGGGGGTGGAGCTGAGGGGAGGTTCGTCGCCGATGGCGGCGATTAGCTCTTCAAGGTTCTTGTTGTTCGCCATGGCGTGGGGAGGGGTGAGGACGACTTTGGATGCTCTTACGAGGGAGAGCTGCGCGGAGGATTCTGCATGCGAGCGGTGGTGTTAAGGCGGGAGATGGGCTCTGGAGAGGGCGACAGAGGGACAAGAGAGACATGCACCGGGGTTCGGGTGCTGGCAGTGTTGACGTCGACTTTCGGAGTCGGCACTGCCGCACTGCAGACGCGAATTGCAGACTGAAAAGGGGATTGTGTGAGGACGCCAGAATTGTACTAAAAAATAGAATTTGTGCCAGCCCTACAGTTCTCTGGGTTTATGTGTCCTTGTCTCATGCAGTTTAAGTCAACATCAGACTCAACATTTGACGCAGGTGCGGAGATAATGGTGGTATAACTCAGGGATTTCTTTGATGTCCTTTCCACGGAAGTACCACCTCATGCTGCCAGAAGGTTGAAGTAAGAGACCGCCCGGATGGGGTAGGGATTTGGATGCTAGTTAGTTGCAAACCATTCAGGCAGGCAAAAGCCGCTTCTCCGAACTCTGCCGTAAATGCTCGAGTTTTGGCTGCAACTTCTCTACATCCGCGTCACCGTTATCTCTCAGCCGTTTGAGATGAGCTTCAACCTCTTTCAGAAAAAACATACCCGAGCCATCACCCCGCAAGCTTTGCATAGTCGCAACCAGTATGCCTCCACCACATAATACAGCTCCCGTTCCAACCTTCCAGTCCTCGCACCGTCATGCTCAACCCTCGCTCAGCTGACGCGCCCTGCCGTCTCCCACTATTGCGGGCTCTCGTCTATGGTCTGAAATAGTACCCCCTGATAATTGCCAGGAAGGACATTTTTTTTCCGCTGTCACAAGGCTCGCCCCTTTACAGCGATGAAGCGGACCAGTTTTCGGCCGAAATCGCACTCGATGATGTGAGTGTAGTATAGTGACAATTTCGCTGATCGAGGCAGCAACCGCTTGCTTGCCCGAGCGGATGCGGTGGCAGGGGTTGAGGTTTTTAGGAAATAGAATCGATGAGTGATTTGCACAGTCCAAGCGCCCGTTGCGGTGGTATCTTTCGCCAAGGGGTTGTTGCCCTCCATACCTGAAGACACTTTATCACAGGGTATCATAGAGGCATATCCTAACGCATGCGGTAGATTCACGCTGTAGTTGGGCGGGAACAGTCGCGACTTGGCGGGGAATGGGGGGCAACGATTTAAAAATTTTAAATGCTTAATTGTCGGTGAGTCCCATGCCACAGCTAGTCGTGAGGTTGACGCGTTCTCGGCCTGTCACACATGTGGGCGTCGAGAGGTCTAAACCACGACGCTGTATGTGCCGCGGTTGGACATCAAAAATCAGGCCTACGGTAGGTTGGAAGCTGGGGGGTTTCAAGTTGCACGCCTGGTCGTACGCGAGTACTGTGGGCTTGGAAGTTGGTACAGAACAAGCTGATCTTGTTTAAGAGCATCCCCACCGGCATGAGCATGGTCCCAACCACGTGTCTCACACATTGCACCGATTCTGCAAGAGCAAAGTGATTGACAGAGGATAGAAGGTAACTCCTTTCCTGACACTACTGCAAGCCACACATCAAACAATACCTCTCGACCAATTCCCACATAATATGTGGGAATTGGTCGAGAGGTATTGTTATACCAGAAATTTTTTTTTGTGTCAGAGTCATATTTTTCTTTTGGGTCAAAGTGTAGATTTTGGGGCGACACCCGGCCAAAGTGAAATCTACGTGGCTCAAACTCGCTCTCGTACCACTCCTTAAACACTCGAATCAGGTCCTGCAGGGCCGCGGACCGCGCCTGCTGCTGCTTCATTTGGTGGATGTTCAACGGAATCTGTTTGTTCTGCACCACCTGCCTTCTCTGCTGTTGGCCCACATGCTGAAACTGTTGCTGCGGCACTTTTCTGTTCCCCGGGGCCTGACTGAGCCCTCTGCCGCTCAAACTCGCTCTCGTACCACTCCTTAAACTCTCGAATCAGGTCAATGCCAAACGCTTGGGGGCAGCTATCTCGCACAAAGCGAGCTACAGACTCGAGCAGCTTCTGCCGCGGAATGTGCCCTCTCACCCACTGAGCCCACGCTTTCTTAATATGCTCCTTTAAGCTGACCTCCGCTGTCTGTTTGAGCGGGCTTCCTTCCATAACTTCAGTCAGGGTCTTGATCGCAAAGCGGCAAAAGTGACCAACGATAACTTGCTCTTGCGAAATCTTAGCCGCCTGAGGACGGCCCTGCCCCGGTGCGGGCTGGCCAGGCAGAATGGGCTGCTGCTGCCTCCCTGCGGCTGGCACGGTACGAGAAGCTCCCCCAGCATGGTTTGAAGTGCCAGTTTTCTTCATGACGGCGTTGAGCTCGGCCGTAATATCCGGCCGGGCTGATGAGGCGGCAGACAGGAATTTGAACTGAAGCAGGTGCCGTTGGTTGCGAGAGAGGACTGATTGTTTGTTGCCATGTGTTGCAGTGGTGAAATGGGTACTTCGAAGTAGTACGTACTTTACGGTACAGGGGGGGGGGGGGGGGGGGGGGGGTCGCGATATACTGTAGTGCTATCTTTGTTAGTGCTAGCTCCGATTTAGTGCTACTCTTCTGCGGGTGGCACGAATTTTGAGCCAAAAACGGAGGGTCTCCAGAGAGGCAGTTGGATGGACGTACTGCCCGAGAGCCGCTGCCGCTGCGGAAAGATATTATGCAGTTGCGAACTCGACTAGATACTATGGCGGAAGAAGGCAGGGTCGATGATGCAATTGGACATCTGCAAAAGTGTAGGTTGGCATTTATGGCTGTTAAAAAAGGAGGAAGTCAATACGACGGCTCGGCAGCTACTAATAGCAGAAATGCTTGAATAGACGGGAGTCTGTGTAGTGAAGATGTAAAGTATGAGTGATGGCGGCGTCCTGCGAGCGGTCTTTCTGAGCAGTGATGCAAGCAAGTTGCTGCAAAAAAGGCGTGAATCTCAGTATCTTGCAGTGCCTGGTTCGATATAGTGCCGTTTTCGGCCCACTGACACAGGGTAGCACTATATCGCGACCCCCCCTGTACATCGGGACGGATGATGGTCGACTCCGTCTGTTGTACAGTGAAGACATTCGTAGTTTATTGGTTCTAGTCGGTCACGAGACATCGGCTAAGAGGGGACACACAAAGGCTACGCAAACCATTAAACTGAACTGGAAAACATAAAGAAAACATAAAGAAAACATAAAGAGAAAAAGACATGATGAGAAAGGAAACTACCAAGAGGGCGGCGCAGCCGGGGCTGGGCGGGCAAGAGAAATAGACATGGCCAGGAGAGGGGGGCTGGCAAGAGGCTCACGATGGCGCCATAAGTACCACGGAGCAGCGAGGCTGCGAGGTGAGGTACGCTCGGTTGGCTGATAGTAATTACAGCCACTCGCTATTCTCCGGGGAGTTTCGCCCCTATACACGCTAGCGTGTACAGAGACGCATACAACAGACGGAGCAGTGCTGGGCCAGCACTGCACTGTTGCCCTTGATTTCTTTCTTTATTCAATGTCCTTTTGAGCGATTGCTATCTCGAAAAACGGAACATGTTAAAGACAGAGCACTGTTGCCAGGCGATGAATAATTCTAGGCAACACGTGGCACATTTACCGACCGGTGCCGAGAGCCTAGGCCTTAAATCGCGGTGCTGCCAGACAGTGGCGGGCGAAAGACCGGCGGAACGAGGACGTTGGGCGCGACGGGGACGTTGGGCGCAACGAAGACGTTGGGGGCAAGGAGGACAAGGAGTAGGTTGGGCTGTGGATCCGGCCAGGTGATCGACCCGCCCCCCGAGCAACGTGCACTACTGGATCGTTATACAGGGGGGACTACGGTCGGTCGGAGGGGGACCAAGGGTCGAAAAGTAGGGTTTTTGTAAACGGTCGCATTGTCGGGCGGTGGTGGCTGGCGTCTGCTCTGTGGTGAAGGAGAGAGATAGCGGGCAGGGACGGCGGATATCAGTAATATAAGATAGGGGCGGTGGGCATGTAGTGTAGGGATGGCATCGAGAAGCAAGAGGCGACTTGGAGGTAAAGTTGAGGACTGCCGTACCGTCAGATTATGCGGCGCTCTCGGTCGTGTGCTTGGACTGGCTGCCGCTGGCCAACGACGAGAGGGAGGAATGACTGGGAGTCATATGAAGGAATCATCAGAGAAGGAATCATCAGAGAAGGAATCACCACAGACTGGCCGCTACCTTCGTACAGTACGGCACTGAAACTGAGGTACTGTAGCATTCGCTCAAAAGGACTTTGAAATCAAAACAACGAATGCCGCTCTACATTACACTGTACGCATGCAAATGCTTCTACTGTACAGTGTTGTACAATTCTTGAGAATTGTTGAGATCAACGATTGATCCGCATTCATCTGTCCTACGTTGGCATACATCGGAGTCATCGTTTGTAAACCTTGCCGTCCCCAAAAGAAACACGTACTGGAGTTTAGCAAAAATGCGCGGCGAGAATGCGCGGCGAGAATGCGCGGCGAGAATGCGTGGCGAGAATGGTCACACAAAAAAACGCAAGCGAGGTCAGAAATATTCAAGTCATCTTTGCGTCTCGTTCGAACGTGAAACTGGCCACCCAACCATTGCACTGACTCTGCAAGAGTAAACTTATTGACACAGTAGTATAGTATAGAAGGTAAATCCTTTTTGATACTACTGTATACATCTCGACCAATGTCCACATGTCGGGCCGCGTTACAAGTCCGCATTCTGGAAGTGTTGCTCCAGCGGTTCTGCCTTCGCGTCCTCTATCAGCACATTGTGCCGCTGGGACTCCACCTCGTACCACTCCTTAAACTCTTTAATCACATCGAACCCTGGCGGCAGTGGGCCACTATCACGCACACAGCAAGCGATAGACACCAGCATCTTGTGCCTCGAGATGTGCCCATCCACCCAATGAACCCACATATTCGTGATGTGCTCCTTCAAGAGCGTTATCACCTGTTGCTTCTGCGGACTTCCTTCCATGATCTCACCCAATCTCCGTATCGTAAAGTGACAGAAGTGACCAACTATCACCTTTTCTGCTGAAACCTCCACCGCTTGAGAATCATGCGGTTGTGAAGCGGGGGGCTGGCCAGCGTGCGGGCTTCGCCGTGATGTAGCAGAAGCAGCCTCGTATAAGTTTACTTCTCGCGACCGTGCAGTATTCAATCTCTCCACCATACCGACCAGCTCAGCCACAATATCTGGCTCTGCTGATGACGCGGCGGATGTGGAGGGCGTGGAGGTGTTGCTGATGACGCTGAGCGGAATTTCATCTAAGTTCCTGTACATACCGTAGTGTGGCCTGGTATCGGCTTTCGGAGGTGGTCACGAGTTAGGGAAGGAACGCGGGTGCGGTTGGGGGCAGGAGGGTGAGAGAGGGAGGGCGAGGAGCATGGTGGGGCAGGAGTGCACGGTTATTTAACGCTTGCGAGTGGGGCATGAAGAAGTACACCAGTTTCGGATGCGTCGATGGTCTCAAATGCAAGCTCCACGTCAAGACCGAAAGCTCAGGAGATGCGTTGAATACCTAATAGGATCCTGATGGTATGCGGATGCCTACAGTACAGTTTCCAGTTCATGTTCAAGCCATTGGCGGGGGCCTGTCATGGCGATGAGGACCGGAATCTGCGATACTATTACCGGAACAATGTCCAGTATTCGACGCCAGCGAGGCTGTTCCGTAAATTCGTTAGAAGGGCAGAGGATGACGGGAGCTTCCTTCTTGTGTACGTGCACTCACTCTTGTGGAACGGGTTTATTCGCTCCTGGCTGAAGGGCAGCAACCGCCGCTCGCTCGAGCACGGTTCTCCCAATAGAAGGGGGCGCCCAAACCCCAAAGAGGAGCGAGACAGTTGATGCTGCAGCCTCAGCCTCTCCTGCGCTGATGATGGAATCTACAGTATGCCAGGGGAGTGAGCGGAAAAATTTCGGTAGCGATAACTGGTAACGATAAAAGGCCAGCGCAGTCAAAATTCAGTTCAATTGCGAAAGGTAGATGAAATTGGACACGGTGTGGTGGGAGCGAAGGGGGGGGGGGAACAGATTTGGACAAGAGGGGCGACATCGACATCGAGAGGTGGCAAGTAATGTACAGTGCAGGGAAATACTCAGCGGGGAGACAGCGCGGTTACTGGGTGCTCTAATGGAGTTGTTACGCGTGTATGGCGCATAAGATGTGTATGGAGAGGTAGCGTGCGTTACGGAGGAAGAACGATGCAGGGTGCGGAGCTTCGGGGCTTTCGATAAGTGTCCGGTTTGAGGGAGTCCAATCTGACGAGGATGTGTTCCGACATCTCTGGGGACGGTCCCCTCAAAGGGCAACGCGAATGGGATGTCGCCATATAATACATAGTGTAGATAGAGTTGAGTTGAGTCGAAGCGTGTGATGGGATTTTGCAAGGCACAAGAACCGTGGAATTCCGTTGTATGCCCCTCCACAAGCACGGGCGAAGCGCACGGCGGCAAGGCATTGTTATTGCCAGGTTGAAGCGGCAGTGCAAGCACGGGCCAAGTCGGGGCGGGCAGCGAGGGGGTAGATGATGCAAATGCGTGCGGGGTCGGGAGTTATGCGCCATTGCAAGACTCGGGGCTGGTTCAAGTGTACCGCACTCCTTGTCTGTTAACAAGGCCGTACAGAGAGGACTGAAAGCATTGTATGGCGACACGAATACGGTAAGACAAGGTGGTGTAGCACAGGGTCGGTTTGGGTGGAAACGCACATCGGTAGAAAGGGGTAGGGCAGCTCAATTCGGTAATCTGGAGACTTTTGTACACACGTGCATTCCCACGATGACATTGGTAGAAATATTTGCAGGGGCGCGTTTTAAGTATCGGGACAAGCTTGAAGGGGATCTGTAGTTGACTCGGAAAGGCATTTTTGCACAAAACACTTTCCGTGGTTGCCGGGGAAGCGGAAGAACGGCTGAAGACGATTCTACAGTAATGGAGGGGCGCATGAAGAAAGAGCAAAGTAGGTCGTAGACAAGCGTGAAAGGCGGAACATGTGTTTCAGTTACAGTTGTAGCTAGAGGCTATGGATGAAGCAGTGCATGGGAGGACATGCTCGGTGTTCAAGTAGAAAAGATTTTCAAGTGGACAGCAGGGTGCAAACGGCCAAAATAGAATGACAATTGCGATGTTTCTAAATAGAACATAAACGGATCCTTGGATGAAAGGATTAATCCTCGACAAGCCCTAAGGATTACTTGACTACGAACATGACTGGAGGTGGGAGCGGAAGGTGTAAGCGAAAGCGATACAAGGGTATCGTGGGGGATATACTGCTTCCAGATAAGCCACCGCATTAAGGTTCTGTCACTGGAAGTCGCGAGGCCGCGGCCAGGGTACGAGAGCTTGAACTCTCGCGAGGGAGGTCTGGCCGGAGTGGGAGGAGTGGGCGTCTGGAAATGGAGGCGGAAAAGGGAACGAGGCGGAACGAGCAGAGGCGGAAAAGGGATAGGCGGAAGAGGGAAAGGCGGAAGAGGGAAAGGCGGAAGTAGCCTTTTCACTTGTAACTGACATCAGTTCTGATATCTCTCTTGTTTCGGCGGGGCGGCGGTACCCTTCGAAGGGTATAGATATGCCAAGCGGGGGGGGGGCAGGGCGGGTCGGCGAGTTTGCAAGAAAGAGCAAGAGAGTTTATTATTTTTCTATATGGCGGGCTTGCAATCGTCCGCCGGCGCAAGTGCGACACGTGTGTCACGTGTGAATAGTGGTGCACGAATACGGACAGATGTTGAGGGTAGCCGCACGACGCCGCAAGAAGCCAGGCTGCCTTTCTCAGCCACGAGGACACAGGTACACGTAGAGCTACGGCTGGCAGGAGCAGAAGCCCAGCAGAAGCAGGGAGTGCTGGAAGTGATCGGGTCGCAACTGTCACAGAGCACTGCAGTATTGGAAAAGGCTGCGTCTGCGACATCTGCCGCCCCGCCAACGTCCCTTGCCATTACTGCGCATCCGAACTGTGCACCGGCCCTTGTAGTGCACAACATCACTTGGCCCGCCATCGGGACACGCGTCCCTACAGTACCCCGTTTTTCAAATCTTTCTGCACCCACCCCCGGAATGGCCACCCACCCAGCACCCTATCAATCACCACCGCCGACAACCACTACCCAAGGGTAGTGCCACCCGTAATACGGCCCGCAACAAACCCTCTTGCGCCTGTTGAAGGGTACAGTAGTGCCACCCGTAATACGGCCCGCAACAAACCCTCTTTCCGCCCTCTTTCCGCCGCAGACAGTCTTCGCGCCCAGCCTTGACCCCGAGGTGCGCACCCACATCACCCACATCTCTCGCATCCACAAATCTCCACACAGCATTAACCCAAATCCCCCCCCCCCTCCGTTACCTCGGCCTCCAAATCCCCACAAAACCCCCCAGCCGGAGT